TGGGGGCCATAGGGGCAAAAAAGAGCGCGAGCTCCGTTAATGAGATTCCGCGGAAGGGAGAAGTCGATTGCGGTTAGCGTCTCGTACCGCGATCAAGCGACCACAGATTCTGAAACAAGTACAGTGATATGGAAGATACCAGAAATGAGACGTTCATTGCACGCCTGGATTAACTCCATGAAATAAAAAGTAGAAAAATGCGACGAGATAGTGTACATTGTTTTCTTTAATTCTCTTTTATAATGTAACTTCAAATAAATATTGAAAAAAGTTCTTTCCTTTTCAGGAAAGTTATAAATATACAAAGTTATGATTGTACCAAGTGCTTCGACACAAGAGATTTTTCAAAAAGTGGAGTTAATCGATTTGTTCAGTGAACGGCTGAAATGATGATTCTTCTAGGCTTTTCTATACTTGAATAATTATTTCTGTAGGACTTATTTTGTGTTTCTCACGAGTTTCATCACTCTTGTGCAACGACAAAAACTTTCACGATCTCTTTTGGTCTCTAGTCCATCTTTGAAACAATAAAATGTGGACCATACGTAGCAACTCGAAGTTTTTACGTTTTATTCGGCAAGGAAGTGGTCTTTTCTTAAGGAAAGTACCATGAGAATGGGCAATAAGATTTATGGTGACGCCGGGGTGCCGTTCGCAATGATACTTTACGACGTCGACCAAGATCCCACGCGCGATTGGCCGACAAAGAGCCTTCAAAGAATTCCAAAACCTAATTTTTAGCCCTAAGTTTTGTGACAGTTACTTCACTTACGCAATATCAACACGACACGATTATTTCCATAGCTACTGACATCACGAAGTGCAATCTTTTCCCCAGACTTTATTAACTTTCAAACTAATTGGCCTTTCCGTAACGGTATTACGACTGCCATAGTTCTATTACGTAATTCGTGTACTCTGTAGAATTACGTTAACCTGATTTTTTCCCCAGCTCCAGCTCGAGGAACTTTAAATTATTAATTGTCCCAAGCGAACGACGAACTTCTGTGTGTAATTTAAAGTTTACGTGAGAACGAATTTGCAGTTTATACTACGAAGGCGTACCGCCGAATCAACAGCATCGTTAATAATATTACCGGTATTAATAAATGATATAGCGGAGAGCGCGTTCGTTCCTGAAAACGCAGCAGGGGAAACAAAATATTTGATCTATATAGCCTGAAACTTTAAGTAGTTACTTTCCGTAAATATTTAAAAGAAGCAGTGAAAGTAATAATTAAATTGAAATCACATTTCACATTGTACTTTATTTATATAAAAATATTAACGAAGAAGCATTTCCTTTTAGACATCCAAACTAAAAGCCACCTGGACGTCATACAATGTAACGTGTGTGCTTTTTCATAAATTATACTTGGAAGTGCTCTTGGTCACGTGAGCAAGTATGCGTCGCAAACAATAAACATATGTATAGGTGCCGCCGCCACTAAACACACAGAGGTTGCCTGCCTCAGGCATATCCAATTAAAATTTTTAGCAATCTACTGCTTCGAAATGAAGCCTCCAGCGCAATTTCACTAAATTTTGAAGTCAGCCTATAGATGCTCATCCGTTCTTGCGCAGGCTGTACAATTTTCTCTGTGAAGCGCGAGCATTGCTTGTGTATGGCGTCTCTTGGGCGCCAGTGGGAATCAATCTTTAGTAAGATTGAATTCTGCGCGCCCCCGCGAGCGATCGAGACGATCTTACGCTGTTTGAGACAACTTCCAAAGCATCGCGGGCTCCGCACGAGATTGGTGAGTTTCCATGACGATTTATCAGCCGTACCGCGAAATAAGCGTCGCAGAACGTTTGCCGCCATTTCCCGCGGCGACGTTCTTTTTATTGCCTCGAACGATACAGAGCGTCGCTCGTTCCGTTCTCGGATAATACGAAATAGGAACAGCGGAGTCACTCTGTGAAAGTCGCGTGCGAATTTATCGCCGCCTCTTAAGCAGATTTATACCTACGGAAAGATGATATTTTCGCGGACGTGGGATCAGTATCTATCACCTTGGAATTTTGCAGTGAAAGTGTGGACGCTTTTGTATCTTTCTTTGGAAAGTGGCCTCTTTTTTTTTTTGGTTGCAGTGGTCTCTCGATCAGTTCGATGTTCGAAATGCGTCAAATGGCTCGGATCTGAATGTAAATAAATGAATCCGATTCCAAGATGTTTGCAGATCGGCGCGTTGCCAAAGTGGAACACGCGGATTGGTTGTTTCTACTAAAAGGTTCCGTGTCTGGAGTGGATGGAGGTCTAAGTTAGATTAAATAGCATTGCGTTTTAAACTCCCAATCGATAATCAGGGTTTTTGATTAGGGTAAGACTACGTCCTAGTGAGAAGCAATTGCATTCATTTGGTGGATCAATTGAATCATCTATTGGACGAATTTTATTACAAACAGAAGTTATATAAGGTACCTCTAAAGATTTATAAATGATCAACCTAATGCCAAACCATGAATGGTTACGTCTGTTGATTTTATCTCTCACATTGCAATAGATTCCCTCTATGGTTTCTGCGACCTTATCCTATATCTATCCCAAAGCATTATTCAACTGAAACGAGATTCGATCCTAAGAGCTACAGCCCATGATATAGAAGAAAGGAGGCTATATCATAGTACTAAAAGCCATTTGCTATAAAAAGGAACTATAGAGACCACGAAGAACCATCACTGGTTTAGGTCACTCGATACAGACTCTGAATCTGCCGCACTACATTCACGACAATAATTTGACCTAAATTCGACAAGCATGTGAAACATGGTCCTAACGTTTTTGAAAGGAAATGCAGTCAGTTCCATAAGTATTCGTACCTTCTGTATTTATTGGAGAAATTTGTCTAATTTAAATGAATGCTTCATGTTTTCAAATAAATTTGTAATTGTAAATATATACATGCGTGAGATATACATGTGATGTTTATTTATGTATATAAAGATGTTGCCATAATCGTTACGGTATAAAACCATAAATCAAGAAGGTTGCGCTTTTGTTATCGGATGATATTAAGAGCGAAAAAACAGCGAAACGAAGATTTAAGTTTGTATAGCGGGAAAAATAGTCTCCGGTGAATGTTTCATTAGTACCTCACGCGAAACGGACATTAAATCTCTAGGAGTCAGAATTTTTCATTCCGTGATGAGCGCAATTTATTACTGCGTTATGTAAGATTTCCACAGGATTCACCTACAGTAGCAAATATTTTTTTCTTTTTTTCGTATAAACTGAGATAGAATAAATACAGTTATAATTGGAGAACAGTGACAATATTATACAGAATAATATACAACAGAAAAATCTGTACGAATATGAATATTTAAAGAATATTCAAAAAGTAATCATCACGCTGAGTGTGCCACGTAATTCATGTCGCACACGATATTAGTATCTTCATCCATTGCCTCAGGCTGGAATAGAAACTTTTTTACCTCGCGGAGCTTGACAGACACTGAATCGTGAAAGGAATTTCTAAAGGAGAATGCCGTACTTTTAATCAAACATATAGATACGGGCTTTAGAACACACCCACGGGTTTCCTCAAAAGAGTGCACTCCATTCAATTTTCATATCCTAAAAACCGCCAGTGATGATGTTTGCTAATCAAAAGCCTCGCAACTTTGACAAAAAGACGCCCAAGCTCGCCGAAATGATAAAACAGGATAACGTGTGACACCACGTATTTTCTATATTAAAGCTAGGGATCATAAAAATGAATTGATGCTCGCGTTCGAGGTACAGTTTCGGTCTTTAATTATAACTGTATTTATTGTAGCGAAATCACAATTGCTATATACATTCACTTCGTTTCATTCGCTGTTTTATCTGACTGCCGTAAAGAATTTTGCGCCATAGAAGTTCAGTTACATTCATCTTGACAAAGAACACGGCGGGGGCATTTTGCACGAGTTATACAGATAGGAGCTTTTCTGGCCGAACGGCCACGAAATTAAGAGGAAATATTTAGGCGCCATTCGCGGAATTTTCTTTGTGTAAGTTAGTAACAGGTCAGAGTGGGAGTGTTTGCCGAAAGAGACTGGATCGAAGGCATTGGATACAAGGAGGAAGTACAACGAGATTCTTCCTGGAAAATAGCGGTAACGGCGCAAAGCTTTTAGTGCGAGGCACGAGGAGGAACCGAGAGAAAGGCAGACGATTTCGAACTGACAACGCGAGAATCGAAAGTAGCGATATTAATTTCGAATTTACTATCGATTCGGACAAACTTGGATGGTTAGAGTAATAAAATTTCTTTGTACGATCTCCTACTAATGAATCATAATTTTGTTTAATTAAATACACTTTCGTTTCTGTTCAATACTGCTTTCTTTTTTATACTTTAGTCCTACATATATTAACATTTAAAATACGCAACTCTCTAAAACACAGTGTTTGTGACAAATTGTTTTTAAAAACCTTAACGACGTAAATTGAACGCGCCGATGACCGAGTTAGCATCGAAATTAGATGCAGTTATCTTACTTCGTACGAATTTCACATATCGCGGGTAATTTCGTTAAATTTTTTCATTAAACCGCGCGAAGCATATTACCCACGTAATAGGTTTTCATAACGCGAGATCGTTTTGGATACGGCCGGACTAAACACGTGGTAAACCGCCCCCGAGTGCTATACCGCCGTAGTATATAAAACAAAAGATACCATCGTGGTGCTAAAATACGACAGCCATAAAAATGAAATATGAAGCACAGAACGACCGCAAAGATTGATCGGAAGAATTCGCGATCGGTTGTCTGGTAGACCATTCGATACTTGCTTACTTAGTCTTAATTGCAATTTTTTTATTCAAAATATTTTTAGGGAATAACTAAATGTGTTGAAATGTGTCTTTGAATTTTTTTTAAAAATTGGCACAAACTTCCTGGACAAACAGTAATACACTGTGTTCTACCACCAGTCTGCGCGAGGGTTAAAATGCGCAACTCGCAAAACATGTTCCCGAAACAGTTAGGAAGAAAGATATATGAGAATTTACCTTAAGAGTATCCTGCAGATTTTGTACTCTACAGTGCATATATACGGCTGCACCGAGTTGTACGGTAATGTTGCTCTCTGGATCTTCGAAAAAGGGCCTGGGCTCAGGAGTGCCGCCAGTGTCTGTCGCGAAACTCTCCACGTCGTATACCTGAAATTCCCCCGGAAAAGAAATACATCAGAATTTTTTATTTTCCTCACTGCAGACCGTAAATTGACCAATTTCCCACAAAATTAAAAAATTGTCCACACCAAGAAGAAAGACCAGTTTTTGAGGAAAACTGCACTATCAGGATTTAAAAAAATTTTTTTCATACTAATTTTAGCCAAAGTTAACCCTGTATATTAAATACGAGAAAAAAATTAATTCAAGTCTGAAAGCATTAATTTCTCAGTTACTCTCAAGATCACGTAAACGTTAAAAAAAGAATCCTTGCAGTAACCGATCCTGAACAATCATAACGGAACATACAACTGTTACGTATGACACGCCGCGAGTAACGACGTGAAAAGTACGACCGTAGCTTTTTCAGAAGACAATTTAACTGCTCGTTCCAATAATGCAGCCGACTTACCTCGGTAAAAGGCGAACTAAGCTCATGCCAGAACGACCTCGGCAGGTTTTCCAGTCCAGGAAACGGCTTAGCACCTGAAACAATTTAAAACCAGATTATACGTGCCGACCTAAACTTCATTACGAAGATACAACGCAACTAAACTTGACCGAAAATTCACTACCATCCTCGTTACGACTAATGAATGATACACTCAGTTACACGAATGTGCTTACGAAAGCTTGATTAATCGATCCGCGTTCTAGTAGTCGATCGCGGTAGCTTCCGTGGCTGCAATTCTTCGTAAAAGATAAATGAACATAGTGGGACAACTTGAGCGACATTCCAGCAAATTCTGATCGTGAGATGATTAAATGCTTGGAGGATTCTGTAAACCTATAATATTGCAAGTTATACTAAAGCAAAGTCATTGCCTCAGTCTGAAAATATCCAAATTCTTCATAATAATTCTTCCATAATATTGCAATATATACTGAAGCAAAGAATTGATCATTGTCCGAGTCTGAAAATATCCAAATCCTCTACGTGTACCAGTTGCCAGCCCTCGACGAGGTAAACAACGAAAATTTTGACACGATAAGGGAGCGAAACGCGAACGAAACGGTCCGATGGCGACGATAATAAAAGTTCTGGACGTCACCGCCATAAATCACCGCGTTAAGCCGCGACCGATGCGAGGCGTGGTTTTGTCTTATCCGCCTTTGATCCGAGAAACAAAACGTTACTCTGTCCCTCAGGCCAGAAAAAGCCCCGTTCGCAAACACGTCGCGACCATCGTCGTAATAGACGCGGAAAATCGAATTACTATGGAAACAGTCGCGAAGTTGGCGAACGAGTGTATCGCAGTAGAAAAGTTTTTCACTTTTCCGCGGGAGTAGAGGGAAACTCCTTCGGCTGTCGACGGATAGAATGGCTTTATCAGCAGCTAGCACACGCGACTGTACGCCAGTTTCCAAGACGATACACATAAATGTATTCCCCTCGCAAGGTTACACGGCATTCTGGATACGACAACAACGCTGAACTTTCGCGATCGACGGAAATAAGCCCTTCCGCGCGATAAAAGGAACAGCGAGGTAAATATGCCTTCGATCTGGATAATTATAGATCCCTTTTACCGTCCTGGGGATCCATGGATTCTGCGTGACGCTTGTTCTGGTACAAAGGGGAAGAGAAACTGTAAATTTAGCGTGGGCTTTCAAAGCAGTCACTACCTTAGACATTTGCTTTGGTTTAGAAACGATAGTTAAGAATAGAAGTAGTTTGTTGAATAATTTTCCTTTTTTCAATGCTAGTCAAAATTTTCATTTCACTAGTGAGTGCTATAGCTTTTTGACGATGTGGCTCAGTCACAGCTCGAAGTAAAAAAAAAAGGTCAATTGCTGGAATAAAAACACTGCCTTTTCTCGGATTAGTGGCCAGGAACGAACCTCAACCCAGTCACCGCTTGCTCGAGGATTACCGTGATGAAAAAGACGCAGCAGGAAATGCGAACAAAGTGCTGGAATGCAAAATAATTCTACAACTTGTTCATATAAATAGTATGAACCCTTTCAGACCTGGCGTTCACAACTGAGGACATAAAATTTAAAAATTACAGACACTCTCGTTTAGTGAAGACAGACGTTCTCCTCGAAAACTACACTATTACAATTGTTTTTACTTCTTCCACACTAATTTTGGCCTAAATTAACTCTGAAAATTAAAATACACTAGTACGAGAAAAAAAAAAAACTTAAGTCTGAAAGAGTTAAGGCGATCATTTCGAGACTTTGGTACCAAGAGCTTCTCTCGTTTAATTATCGATAAATCGTTTAAACCATCACTATTTTTACGCGCATAATAGTTTCGTTATCCTTTCATTAACGAACTATTGACAAACGTCCGCCAATCCAATCGTCCTTAGCTAGCTCCTCGCATCAATTCAGCATAATGACACCGAGCACGCGTGTGTCCGCGCATATATCGATTGAATTCTTGCATAATCCCTGTGATGATCGCGGGAGTATTCACTACAGGCAAAATTGAAATACGCGCGTGCTGTTCCATTTGCATTCAGCCCCGGAGAAATTCGCCCGACTGTTAATTTACTGTCGTGCTTCAATGCATCCGTCTGCGCACGAGAGGTACCAGAAATTCCGGCCTCATTTCCGCGAAAATAGAAAAAAAAAAGAAACATTAACAAGCACAGCGCGCGGTCATTAATTGTTCAATATTAAAAGGTGAAAATCCGAGGGAAATTTGGAATTCGTAATAGTTATATTTTGGTTGATTCGTCGAGGTTAATATAAGGAATTGATGAATGGAATAAACAGGCACAGATATGCGCTGTTTAAAAAAAAATTAATCCAAGAACTGTACACCAAATTAAACAACAACTGATCTATTATTGTCATAGCCTGATCGAGCTGTAGGAGAAGTTGTAACTATATCTCAAAATAGAAACTCACTACTTACAAAATTTTGCAATTAAAAAATTATTGAAGATTTTGCTTTCCTCTGTTTGATAGCCCACGAGTCGAGGACCGCGTCGGAGCACGTTGCTAGCAGTTCCAGGGAGTGGGGATGGGCCCACGAGGGCGAGATCGCGACAGAATGAAAGACATCACCATATAAGCAATCGTACGTAACAATGCGGATCGGCTTTTACGCCGTTTTTGGCACGGTACGTACAATCGGGTAGGACGAAGTAATAAAGTCAGTAACCCGGCGTGTTCCCCTTTGAGCTGAAACCGGGAAACTGAGCAATCTCATCGGTTATAAAGGCGGCGGCTGAAAGAGACACAGCCAGTCGGCGAGGAAATAAAGTAAGGAAAATAGCATCCGAAAGACCACAAGGCCGCGCAATATCTCTCCATCAAATTCGGGCAACTCAAACGACGTCTCGCACTCTCGACGAATCGTTCGTCTGGAAGGACTTGGAACGCGGGATCCCCTTTCATTTCGTCGAGAAGAAGATCCCGTGGACAACTCAACGGACGCACCTGAAAATTATTTTCTCAACTGATAGCTCTTAGCCAGCTACAACCAAACTATCTCTTTTTCTCTCAATTCCTCGAGCGTATTCTTGGCTTTTCTTGGGGGGTCTCATCCTCATCCCTCTCTGCTTCGATCGTGCCGATGCTTTGTCCCCTCCAGTCGGTCTCCTCTACTCCCGTTCTAACTATTTCTGGAGAAACGACAGGATAATCCTCGAGAAATTTATCAGCCCTGGCGAGAGAGGACCCCTCGTCCTTTTCCAGCAGGACCAATCTCGCGAAGGTGAATTCTCGTGCTATACGGAGACGCCCCCGAGAAATGGAACGAAGGGACTTGTAATATCTGCTAGGAAGACGGGGCACATAATCTCACAGGACGGATAAACCCGATTACTGGTCAAGGTTTCGAGATACGTCCGAGAGAACGTCGTCCGAGGAATTACTCCATGGGTTCAAATCAACCCACGCGATGGAAAGGATATTGCTTGGTGGATACGTGAACGATATTTTTATTTTTCAACCAAGATTTTATTAGTGTTAGCGGTTAGATCATGGCGGTATCGGATCATGCCATATTTCGGATCATAAAAGAATTTTTTTCCGTCCCTGTGTTTTCGCAGATTGCAATATTGTAGGAGGTTCATTCGAACGAAAGTTTGTACTACTCTCGACCGAGTGAAAAATAGATTATACGGTGAAAACTTGGAGAAGGAATGTATTCTCTCGGACGACTGACGGAACCATCGTTAATATTTTACACTCGGTCTTTTATGCGAAGAAGGGAGAGCCATATTTTCCCCGCGGACGGCAGATTTTGAAGGAAATTTATTTTAAGACGCGTCGAGGCTGTTAGTTCCATCGCTAGAAGAATAATCTTTGCTTTTTTGTTCTAAAGAAACAAGCTTCTGGAAATCCTGTTTAAATTTCTAGGGAGCTTTCTCGCGTGCACTTCCTGACAAAATAATGAATTACCTGCTCTGCAGAGTTTCCTACGTTTGCTTCTCCTGTCGCGGAGAAAGAAGTCAACATTTTCATGCTGCTGAGTTTACAAAGAATTCGTCAAGTACGCATTGTGGGCGCAAATGGTTCGACTTAAAAAGTATAATGGAATGGATCGTCCAAGTTGTTCCTGAATTCTGGGGTTTTAGCGATAAGAGCAGCCTCGATTCGAAAACTGCTTGGTATAGAGCGTGGTTTGTCGCTCAGTACAGCATCGAATTTATGGATCCTGTCCGTGGCCGTGGAATTTATGGGAATCCAATGCCTTAATTGGAAAATTATAGGACAATGTCTGGGAACCAACCGTTCGGCTCACAGCTCGTTATTCAGCGTATAATCTGCCCCTCATCGATAGCAGACTTTCCCATTCTCAATATTTTTGATCTTGGTAAGGTAGCATGCCACTCCGGGATCAAGTTAATACCATCATCGTCCATCACGTTCACCGAGAAAATTAAATCACGGTGTCGGAAAATTTTTGTCGTCCCATGACGGAAGCTATGTTATCTCTTCTTCCAATAATCTAACGTAATCATTCCTTTCTTGTAACGAGGATGCAGTAAACTTGGCATAGTATAGACCGAAGTATCTTTTTAATCTAAAATAGAGAAAATTCATGTACTCACCTAGTGAACCGGCGGCACACAGGAAGTGTAGCTGGTGAACCAAAATGGAGGCCACCACGGCCGAAAAACGACACAACATCGTAGCCGATCCTCAACTCATCTCTGTTTTGAAAGTTGGGGCGCGTCTGAAGCGCATCTGGTCTCCTTCGGATCTGAAATTTCGAAATTGCCCCAACTGTAATATTCGTTCGTCCATAGATACATATTCAAAAATACGTACAACCTAAATGCTTATGAATATTCCAGAAATCATCCTAGACAGTTTCCTAAGCAAACCTTCGACGAAAAGAACGTTTAGTAGGCTATTTTGTTAGGTCACGGGTATTCTAATTAATATCTTAATTTGAATCTTATCGCATAGTAATTAAAGATAAAGCGCCGAGACGAGACGGATGCGGTCGTTAATTATACTCGGTTCCCCTACTGTACAATGTCAAACGATCCTACCGAGCCTACGGAAATCCCCCTGGACTTTGAAATAACACCTCCGGTTACCTGGGGTTGACCCAATCGGGTCCATGAGACACAAAGCCTCCCCAGGCAGAGATCAATGTACTACTCGAGCGATCCGTGCGTGTGTCCCAGAAAAAGGATCGCCCCTTTTGCTCCCGGATTAACAATTTAATACACTCGGAACCCCATCCTATCATGTCCCATTTCCTCGCTAATATGGGCTCCATGTATTCGCAACGGCTCTCTTTACACGAAAATTAATTTCACTATAGAATAATATGCTCAATCAATTGTATTGAAACGTCTTTCATAAATGTCAGTTTATACAATAATAATTTACACATTATTCAAATCGTGAATCTCCTAACTATTCATAATGTCAGTTTCTATCAGATTGTTGTATAAAATATGTTTCGTGTCAGTTTATACAACAACAGTTCATACATAATTTAAATCACGAATCTCCCAACTATTTTTTTTTTTTTTTTATCAATAATAGAAAAGCGGATTTCAACCATCGCTGGTCCATAAGCCCTTGTATCATGTTCAATATATATATTTAATAATTTATTACATAACTTGAGGTATACGAGAGTCAAGGTGTGTATCTCCAAACTATCCATAATATCGGTTCTCATAAAATTGTCGTTAAATTTGCCTTCTAGTTCCAATGAGATTGTTTTATACTCAATGAGTGCATCCAAGCGTCGACCGCTTCCAATTACGTGTACATATACACAAGGACACATATATACCGAAAGGGCACGTTAAATCAGACGGGTGATCGAAGTTAAACATAAGATTGTTACCATGAAATTCCGGGTGATTCAATTTGACCGGAAGTTCGACCGAAAACACGGTACGCCATTGGGTTCCCGACGCCACCCTAATGAATCTATCGTCTACTCTCGAACGCCAACCCTCGCCCTTGCAATCGTTTCGTCGGTCGTCACCTTTCACTCCATCAAACGTCCTTCCGCCACTTCGAGGGGTAAGAGAAACCATTCCTTCGAGTCGGATGCCCCAGAAAATACCACATCGAAAAATAGTAGAAGAAAAGGATACTGATTGCAGCGGTATCAGTGGATTACACTCGCGCGAATAACTTCCTATCATAGAAGAGAAACAAAATCGTGCGGAGATAGGTAACACGCGAACGAAAAACGTAATCTGCTTGCGAGCGAAGAACAGCATTCATTTTCATTACGAGCACGCGACGACGCCTTTTTAATCCCCGCGGATTAATCATTCAACGAGATCGCGACGGAAGGAGCTTAACGTTAGCTGTAGCCAGAAGGCCAGAGTACGTCTTGGGTGATGTATACCTTTTGGGATACGCTGGAACTCCACCATCGATCTTACGACTATCGATCGCCGCTCAAAGACAATTTGTTTAAGTGCTTTGAGGGAACACTTACATTGATATACAGAATTTCGATCGTGTTTAATAATTAAGCATCGAAAGAAACTTTCTTTGTTTATTAAGTACCAGAAAAGTTGCAAAATTTATTCCATCCGTCCATCTTCTCCGCAATTACCTAAAATAGCCCAACTAAACGGTAGGCGAAAGGTGGAGATGAAAAGTTTTAATTGCATCGATGTTTCCACCGAAAATTTTTGGCGCATTTACCAGATAGCTTACACTCTACATTTCACCGCTAATAGTTCATCGTTCGCGATTATGCGAGTTTGCATATACGTTACAACAGCTGGTAGTGTATAATTTAATCCCTGGCGAGGTTCAACAATTGCTCCCGTGAAAAATCTTATCATGTTATTATATTAATTGCGCTATTACTCGGAAGGGGAAGAGGAACAGCATTAACTCGGGGGTGATTCTTGCTCGCACGCAAGTTTCTTTAATTGCGCAGAAACGAGAGAATTTTTTGGTAAAACGCGTGGCTTTCCAGGGAATTTCTGGCGTGGACGTGACGGAGCATGCGAACAGAAGTATTTTGGAAAATTCTTTTATAGTGGGTCGTGTACTGTACTATTCTGTAATATTTATGTATGCATAAATACATTAACATATAAATACGTAGATATATAAACGCAGAAATATATGAATACACAAATGGTCAATGGCTGAAACACGAATCTTTTAATCAAAGTCATAAAGCGACGAAATAAAACTGGTACATGGTCCGACATAGTCCAACATTGAAACCATTTTCGACCACGATCCATCGACGACAGGAAGTTTCATTCGCGTACACACAAAAATCGCCAGTTTTCCCCAAATGTACTACTCCGACGCAACAGAAGCGAACGGTATCAAAGCCACGCTCTCGATTAATAATAATTGCAAACACAGCCGCGATACGTTCCGTACGCTAAACGCGACAATCGGTAGCTGCGTTAATGCGCCGTCAAAGTATAGAGGCCGGGCGAGTCGCGCGATTCAGTTATTCAGCGTTTCGCTAGGAATACTCTAATTCCTCGTGTGCGCAATGGTTTACACGGGGGCCCGTGCTACCAATGCAATTAATAACTTCCAGCTCGAGAGCCCGTGGGCTAATAGCGGTTAGTTTGCATGGTCCACAGAGGTTTATCGAGCAAACATCGGTCGAAACTACAATCGTCGGACTTCCACCGCCAGAAACCGATCGATCGGTTCGCTGGAAGACGACGCAACGGCTGGAAAACATCGGCCAAACGGAGATTGATAAATTTCCAGATGTCGACGACGGAACTTCCACCGTTTGTTTCACTCGAGGAAAGTTCGCGACAAACAGGAGGATATTAATTGGCCAGGAGCAGGAGGGGGGGGGGGGGAGAGAGAGCGCAGTTCGCGCTCGAACGTGAAAATCGCTCCGAACGCAGCGACGGAGGGATTGGTGATAATTAATTCGAGTGTACCGTTTATCCAGACGAAATTGATTTCGACTTTCGGCGAAATAACGATTCGTTTGCACTGGGACGCGCTGCGACGGGGATAGGTAAGTTTTTGGGTGCCTTTAGTTCTAAATTTGGAGAAAATCGCACACGAAAAATCGTACAAAACAAGACCGCACAAAAACCAAGGCTTGGTGGTAATATAATAAACTAATATGAAAGAGTAACATTTGCGATTGGGCACAATCATTGTTATTCTCAATGTAAATGCAATATTAAACATTGACCGGTAGCTGTCGCCCAAAGGTCGTTGCTTTATCGTGACTCGGCATAGGTCACTTTGTGTTTCTGTCAGTTCAAGTGAAGCATTATGCGTTGACCGATGTCTGTCGCCCGTGGATTGACGCATTTATTGTGGTTGTGCATGGTCATGGAGTGGTAAATGTGATATATTAGCCACCTCTGTTTAATCCTTGAGAGATGCGATGACAGGATTAGCAGGGGAACGTACGCAGAGAACAAAGGGAATTTAACACGACGCCCTGCTGACTACATTTATCAAACACTATTGTAACAGAACATCTAAACGATGTCATAAATACAACATACAGTCAATCCCATAAATATTCGTACCCTCTATTTCTATCGAGAAAGTTTGACTAAATTACATAATAGTTTTGATGTTACCAATTGCATTTTTCATTATAAAATATGTCAATACAAATATACAATTGGAAACATCAAACCTAACATTTAATTTAAACAAATTTCTTCAATAGACATAAAGGGTACTGACTGCAATTGTTCTGTAAATTTCTACAATACTCTCGACACTGAACAATTCACAATCAAATGGAATTCGAAGTCTCTTTTGATCAAAATGAAGAATGACTCGAGCAATCCATCCCTTCAACGTTGTTCAAACGTTAATATTACCACCGGCCATCTTGGAATCCTCCCACGGGTCGAGTGCACCATATTTCACGGGAGCAAGGTTGTAATTCTGAAAATACTCAAGTAAACTGATTTAAGAACGCCCGAAGTAAACTTCTCCCGCAGCAAGCCGAAAACTTATTTCCCATCGTACTTCTAATAATGCAAATTCCTGTGATATTTAAAGGTAGAAGTTTTGCAACGATATTCCCCACCAGCATTAAAAAGAAGACCCTGTAACGCCACGGCACTTAATAGAGATGTTCGCGACATTTCGCATCTGCTTGGAGAGAAAGTTTACGAAGACATAAATACTAGATTTAACGCGGGAACTCATAACCGCTTTGAAGTGAAGTTTACGAAGGCAGAAACGCGAAAAAGTCGCTAAGACCGTGTAGTTGCTCATTTATTTATTCTCGCAGCTCCTGGAGAGCTAGGTCAACATCCGTAAGACCGAATAATTAACAGTCTGTAGATATTACCTTCATTTCAAGTATGATTTGATCGTGCTATTTAAATAAAAGGCGCCAGCGCATCGAAATACTCATTTTTCGAGACGTCAAAAATGCTAAACATCTTAATTTCTTCCCTCGCTATTCGAAACCGTGGCGAACAAAGTAAACGCGATACTTGGACAAAGAACCGAGGGTTTTAAAACGAACTTGGTCTCAAACACACGCGTTCACGCTCAAACAAATCCGAGTTTCGCGAATAACCACGAGGCGAGAATTCGTGGCAGGGATTAAGAACTCTCGAGATTGCGTGGAACAAGCATTCACTAAAATTCAGTCGAGCGGTTTTCCATTATTTGAATGTTGGACACGCCTCTGCTAAAGTCGAGCCGCGTTTCACGTTACCGACACCGCAATCGCCGAAGCGGCTACGCGAATCACGTCCGCCTCTCGTTTTCCCTGTCTTTATTTCTACCGGA